GCTGTAGTAGTATCAAAGATATTTCTTCAAGGATAGAGACTCTTTGTTTTGACACCTCAAAGCCCGCGGACGCAGGGGTCCGCTTCGTCAGAAAAGCAACACCGTTGAGCGTAATACGCTAACCACCCATGGGGACCAGATACAGGCTAACCCTCAGAAAACGTTTACCAACCAACCGACCTACACCATCCACTGAACTGCTTTTCCTCGCTTCGGGACCTACGCCATTACACTATAGGCGCCACTCCACACTGCACCAGGCCTTCGTTCACGTTAGTCCCTCCAAACCGACCCTTCACACTCCCGTGCCGTGCTGTATGTGACAGCGGCGCCAACACGGGGCAGCCACGCTTCTATCCGCAGCCCGTGCCTTGATAAACATGCTCGAACAAGCACATCAAAAGCCATGCGATTTGCGAGATCCACTAAAGTGCATATAAACACCAAGCGACGCACCAGGGGTTGCGATTCATGGTCCCCAACTTCTTGACACTTTGTTCCATCACTAGCCATGTCAGACAACTTGAAGCCCGCCATCATTGGCGTTAACATAACGTTGATATTGCTCACTTTGTTGGCTATCAGTTGTCGTATTGGAAGAAAGTTTCGGATGGTGAGCAGCTTCAGCTGGCACGATGGTAGGTTGACTGCAGGCATGTCATCATCAACTTTACTGACGATTACAAGCTCTCGCTGCGTACGCAGGATTTTGTGCCATCATGCTCTCGATCGTGCAGATGGCCAGCACACATATCGGTGGAGGCCTAACCCTCGATGCTATTCCACCTGAGAATATCACTCCTTTTCTCAAGGTTCGCCTCCACAGCCTCCACATCTGATATCTTCTGCTAACAGTGTACACAAAAGATGGTCATGGCATCGTTGTTCTTCTACTTCATGTGCAACTGGGCTGTGAAGCATTCGTTGCTTTGCTTTTACTCCGAGCTCACCTTCGAACACTCGCATCGCATATTCATCTACGTGATGCACGTCTTGGCTTTCATGTTTGGTTTTTCGTGCGTCATCATTGGTATTTTCCAATGTCTCCCTATCCAGAAGTTCTGGAACAACGAGATTGAAGGATTCTGCATCGACAATGACGCATTTGGCTACTACAACTCGATCTTTATGCTCTTGAACGACATCGTCCTCTACATTATGCCAGTCATCTTTACCTGGAACGTCAATCTACGCCGCTCTCACCGCATCGCCGTCAACTGCCTCTTTGCTCTTGGAGGCCTGGTCCTAGGAGCAAGTGCCGCACGTGTCTACTTCATGGACCAGCAAGTCAAGCACCCGGATTTCGCATTCCGCTTCGCTTCGATGATGATCTGCTCCGTCATCGAAAACCACCTTGCTGTCATTGTCGCATGCGCGCCCAACATCAAGGCACTCATCGTGTATACCTTCCCCAGCCTGCAGGGCAAGTTCGACAAGATTATCAGCACTGGCGATGCCTACCGCCACAAGTACAAGAGCGGTTACAAAAGCAAAGATTCCGCTACTCTCGATGTGGAGTCTTCAGGAATCATGAAGATGAAGGACGTAGAGGTCAGAGTGGAGAAGCCCGAGCGGCCTGGCTTCTTCTCGACTGGAAGCTCAAAAAGTGGGAAGACTAAGGACCAGTGGTGGCGAGCGCCAAATAGCTGGGCTGTCGAGTCTACCACGACTACTATCGCGTCTACTAATCAGAACTAAGAAAGCTTTGGACTATGGGGACATGTCATGTTTGAAGAACTGATCCTTTTGTAAACGTGGTTATGCAAGTTCATTGTATCTTCCTCTATTATCATAGTCGACTATTCATAAAGCGAAAAAAAAATGAGTTTTCATCTCTCATTACGCCTTCTCCCTGAACGTCCTTGCAATCCAAAATTACCCATTTTCCGATATTAACTCCCTTTTCCCAATGCATTACTCCGCCCATTGCGCTCGTTGTTGTACATATATTATCGACCATGGTTACTCCGTCTATTAGCGTGCAACAACGTTGCTCGTCCCCATATGCCTCGACCACTTCTAGGTTCACTGGTACTTGACTTCCGCACCCTCCTGCGTCTCACGTTTCCGTCGCTTTCCACTCTTTTTCCCAAGACACAACCATCCACTGATAGCCGCACGCAATCGTTTCCAAAATGATTCCTTCGACATTCCATCCCTTGTAGTCGTGATAGTGACGGTGGGAGGCTGGGGTAGCGCCGTAATGCTTAAATCGTACGCATCCTGTAGATTAACCAGGGTTGCGCTTTGGGGGCGGTTGGAGCTTGTAGCTGGGTTTGAAGCAGGCTCATGGTAATCATGGAACAGAATAGAGTTTATGGGGAGATGGCGCGACTGCATATTTTTTTTTGGTGGCGTTGAATGGAAGACAATTTGTTGGATGGAAAAAAAGACGAGAAACTTGCTTGTCGGACGGCGTTGCCTGACAGATTTGATGCAGTTAAGGTTTTACTTGACATTGACAAATGGTTGCGCAATAAGGGGTGAGATGCTCATGGAAAACGGGGTTATAGGTGGCGCGTCATTGTTTGGACAGCCAAACACCCGTTGTTGTGTAAACGGTGGTGAAGGTGAAGGTGAGGATGGGAGTGAAGACGAAGGCGATAGCTAATCGTCCGTTAGTGGATTACGCACCCAGCCTAATCGGACTCTTGGAGTCAGGCTGCGGTCTCCCTATATGAGTCGTGTTATACAGGTTAGATTGCAGGGGTGGCTTGTGTTTCGACGTCCGTTAGTGATTACAGAGAAGAATATCGGTCGGATCCTATGGAAGCTATGATGATGATGTGGGAGTTTGGGCGATCAAGTAAATGCCTCCGGTCTCCTAAAACCTCGGACAGAGGCGGAGTGGAGATTGATTGTGGAGATTGAGCAAGCCAAGAGCGGAAGAAATTAGGCAATTGCCCGGCATGACATGGTTCGCTCGAATCCATGACTAGGAAGTGTCAGATTTTAATAGGGTTATGTACGTATACGCAAGCCTACAAAAGCGATGAAGTATCTTCTACTAGCGTTGATACAAGAAGACGCGTTGCCTGTCAACAATGACATCTTTAGTCTGACAGGCTGACCATAGACATCTACCGCTGTAGTAAACAACCTAAGAATGGACACATCCCCCATGATTCCCGTCCGCGCGTTTCCGAATACGGTTGCTTCGGCGATTTAACGATGAGATTTCCCCAGATTTTCCCGAAGACGGAGCGGAACCCCCCTGTGCCACCAATCATCCGTCGGCCTTGTTGATTTAGCCACGCCACCACACTCAAGATCGAGTTCATGCGTAGGCAATTCTTACTGTAATAATCCGGCCGAGGTCTAGCTCGCAAGCGTAGTCACAACGGCTGAACTGTAAATCCCAATCTAATACAGTTCCTAAATCTAGGCCAGACTGTAATATAATAGTATAAGTATGTGTCGGCCCTGCCTTCTAGAATATCGCCGTGCTTGCAAAGCAACACTGATCCCAACATCATGAAGTCGCACATTTCCTTGTCTGCCGTCCTAGTCTGTGTCCTCGGAGTCGTTTCCGCCGACAAGCAAGTGCGCACGAAACCGGACCAAGGAGCCTTAGTCGTCGATGCATCAGGCGCATATCCGAACAGCTACCTCAACATCAGTGCCGCTGTAGCAGGACTTCACAACAAGACAGATGCCCAAAAGATCTTCATCTTCCCCGGCACATACACCGAGCAGGTCTACATAGGCCGGCTCGCAAGTCCCCTTACCATCCAAGGCTACACCAATGATTCCACTACCTACAAGAAGAACCAAGTCACCCTCACCTACAACCTCTCGCGCAAAACCCCCGGTCTAGCCAACAACGACGCAACATCCACCCTCCGCCTCTGGACCTCCAACGTAAAACTCTATAACCTCAACATCGCCAACACCTTTGGCGACGGCGCCCAAGCCCTCGCGCTCAGCGCCCAAGCCACGAACCAAGGCTTCTACGGCTGCAGCTTCACCGGCTACCAAGACACCATCTACGCAAACGAAGGCCGCCAAATCTACGCCAAATCCTTTGTAAATGGCGCCGTGGATTTCATCTTCGGACTCCGCGCCGTCGCCTTCTTCAACAAACTCGACATCGAAACTATCGGCACCGGCTTCATCGTCGCCAACGGCCGCGACTCAGAGGAAAACACGAGTTTCTACGTTTTCAACAAAGTCAATGTTACGGGGTCTAGTGGTCCCGGTTCGATCGATCTGGGAAGACCTTGGAGGCCGTTTAGCAGAGTGCTCTTCCAGCAGAGTTACCTTGGTGATGTGGTTACGCCGCGGGGCTGGTCGCGGTGGGACGATGTGCAGAGTACGGATAATGTTACTTTTCAAGAGTATCAGAACTACGGGCCTGGAGCGAATACCTCGGCGAGGGTGAGCTGGAGTTCACAAGCTAGCGCCCCGGTTAAGGCGTCGGATTTGTTTGGGAGAGATTTTGAGAAGGAGAATTGGGTAGATGTTGATTATTTGTAAATTACTTTCATGAAGGAGGGGACTTGTGTATATATGATTGATTTTATGGGTTACGGTAAATTTTTAGTGCTATTTTCTTCCCCAGCTGCTTCGGTAGATTCACGTGTGCAATGATTATCTATGTAGAACAATTACGTAGCCCTATCCTGACTTGGCTCAAGCTCGTCCGACCTCACCCTAGGACACAACCTCCAAGGTACATCCTCAGGCCATGACGGCCATAGCGTGCTGCTTGGTAGTATGCGCTCAGTGAAGAAGCCCGCATCTTTCAGCCCTTTATGCAAATCGCCGTACAGTTCCGGCACCAGCTTGATACTAGGAAATGATCGAAACTCAGTTTGGTTGGAATTCAACACATGTCGCAAGATACGGGCGGGGTAATTCACCCGGTCATCACCCCTGTGCAAGTCTCTAACGGGTAAATAATAGTGTACTTCCCAATCAGTGGTCGTATCAGAAGTCATGATTCTGAGAAGATCCTCAAGGCGAGTCTTGGGGCTAAACCCGTCCATGTCCCGCCAGCAAGCGAAAAGGTGATCGAGGTGCAAAACTGCCTTTCGCTTCACACCTTGTTCCTTGAAATGAGCAAAGTTGTGCTCGGACGCAGCTCGCCAGATTATGAACGCTTGTTTCAATACTTCATAGATTTGAGAGAGATCTACATAGATCTCTGTATAGGGGTGCCGGCGGAAGGTGGAGGATGGGTGGTTGACGTGGAGATGGAAATGCGCATGCCTGAAAGATGTAAGGCCAGTAAAGACGGTACTCTGTATCCCTGATATTGATGAGTTACCATTCTCATTGATGTCAGAAATCAATTTGCAGAAGTTCATGTCAGCCATGATGGGGATGTAGGCTGTAGTGCGGGCTTCGAGCATGGAGCGCGCCTCGGCAGTGGTCTGTTTGCATAAAGAAAGTATACTTGAACCTTCGCAAAGGGGTTTGTATGGTCCTGGGGGGCAGACAACGAGGGCATTACCTGCAGCGTCATCACCCAAATCTAGCACGTACTCGGTGATGAAATTGCGGATTTCAGGCGGAAAGCGTAGCAGAGAATTGTTCTGCATCTGCTCGCTTTCGCTGTCTTTTCCCATGGATCCGAAACGCACTTGAGACTGGCGGGTCACCTGAACTGCCTTCTCGACCTCTTTCCTCTTGAGTTTTTTGTTCAGATAAACCTTACCTACATGCATGGGAACTTCACCGTAGAAGAAACGACCGGAGTTCATTGTACCGATGTAGTGTTGTGTTAGGTCCGAATGTAATCAAGGGCAGACAGCAGCTTCTGTTGAAGAGGTATTGGGCGTACTAGAATGGTAAACCTTGGAGAAATGAAGAACTTAGTCTCAGTCTCCAATAGATGGAGGGATGATTAGATAGAGAGGAATGTTTTATAATGAGCCGTGGATCAAGTTCTCGATAAAAACCTATTAAGGTTGGAGAGAGTTGTGCATATACCCAGATCCATTGTTAGTGCACAAATTGCTCTTTTGGTAGTTGCTAAAGGACTTTCGTGTAGCGCAATGTGAATGGAAGTCATACGTTCACAGTGTCTTTGAAGTGTGCTGGCGACTGTCTCCCCATCGTTCCTTTTATTTGAATGAAGAAAGTAGAAGTGAATGGAGTAATATCACGAGGGTTTCACCTTCATTCAAGGTCGATTTGATATATTGGAGGCTGCTCCGAATCTTCAATTAAGATTTTTCTTCTCCAAAGGGGTGGCTGAAGGAGGTAATTTAGGATGTTTCACCAAATAATGAGATCCTCAGCAGGGTTGTGATGAGTAGTTTCGAAACTATTTTCATTCTCAAGTATTTGGTGGGAGTCCATAAGACACGGTATGGAATCGCCATGTCGTTCCCGTTCCGAAGGAGGGTTCAGGGCGTCCGCAGTGCTGCACGAGCTTCATTAGTCTCTGTTGGTAACCGCTGCTTGAGTCTTCGAATTTCGATAACTGCTGTAATACACATGGTGGTGTCGCATTCGTGAGGAACGCCGCCAGAAATGAAGAAATTGGAAAAGTCTGGGTTTTTTGATGGCTAACAAAGGTGAGTGGAATGTCCAAAGAAGAGTTAGAGATGTACGATCAGGTCGACATTTAGAAGTTGATACACCAAGAGTTTTGGCTACTCAAGGCACGGACAGGGTATAGTTTGCCCTGCTTTTGGATCAAAAGATTCAAGGATTGTGTCAATCTTTAGGCAGGCTGCTGTCAAGCACGTAAACATAATGATTCGTAGTGTCTTGCGCTCGGTTGTGCGGTTTAATGATGACGTTCTTGGAACATCACCAGCACGTCAAGCTCGGGCCCGACATACACCCATACTTTAAGAACTTCGAGTATCCAGAAAAAAATACATCCAAATCCCCAGAGAACTCATACAAAACAAACCATAATGTCAGGAGTCTTGAAAAGCTTTTCGCGCTCAGCGCCCATTGCGAGTCGCGCTCTTCAACAGCGAGGTCAGGGTGTGTATCTCGAGCATTGTATTACCAAAAGACTTTCTAACATATCAACCCAAGCTTTGCCACCGATTATTTCTCGTACATATGCCAGCGGCGCCGTACCTGGCCAGTCGTCCAATGTATCCAACCCGCAGGCGAGCAGCGCTGAGAGCCAGTCGATCAACCACAGCGCCTCGATTGGACAGACGGACAAGAATGATGGCGACCACGTATCGATACAGAACCCAGTTAGCCACCCAGAAAATGATCGGGTAGGAGCATCGGAGGAGGGTACTGAGAGCCAGGACCACATGAAGCATGACCCAAATGAGTCGGATGCGAAGAAGAGGGAGAAGACTTTGGAATATGGCCAGAACAAGCCTTTGGATGCGGCTGACAAGTAGTTCGCTCTGTGAGCTTATTAATGCATTGTACTTTAGAGGTGTAAAAACCAAAAGCTCTTGTAATAAAAAATGTAAAGATTCACCGGAAGGTGCAGTAATCCACTAGCATTCATACACACAAGAAACAATCGAAAAGAGTCTTCTGGATATCATTACCGTCTTTCCATTTGCACTGTTCATAAAAAACTTGGTTACCCCCCAGCATTAGTCGGCATTGCTACCTATTTGACTACACAAGGGATTTACGATCTCCTGAAACATACCTTTGAACACCGGCTCGCTAAAACATCTTGTTCCCTACATCAGATCTTGAAGTAGAGCAGTTCCCCAGCAGGCCCCCATAACAAGATTCACTTGTCTACAGCCCAAAATGGCAGTTTCAGACGAGCACGATCTATGTGGCGCTTCGAATTAGGTTAGTGGATAAAAAAAACACTCTTGCATGAAACATACGCGGGATCTGGCGACCTTGGGGTCAATGCGCCTTTGAACAATTGTTTTTGTGTGATTGAGATTTCGTGGCTGCGGTACCCGAATCCTCCAATACCTTGGCATTCGAAAGCACTTCGAGTCCGTCTGCTGTTGGAGGCGAATCTCCGACCCGAACAGTGCTGACTTGACTATTGAACCGCAAGTAGCTCGAATGGCCGCCCTGGGAGTTTCCCTTGATTAACGTGGATCACCTTTTTAGGTAATTGGCCTGTTATTATGCAGCACGTCCTTGCCGGTACTTACTTACTTACGTCCGCAAGCCGACTAGCTCAACTGCCGTCAACGCCGCAACAAGTCTCCAATGCCTGACGAGCGGTAAGATTCCGGACGAAACGATGTGACGCGAAGCTTGGCTCGTGTTTCGAAACCAGGTACCGATGGCGGAAACGAGGCGGGCGCTAGTGTTTGGCAGGTAGTACATACAGCCAATAACTTCCATCGCGTGCATACTAGCGCCCCGGTGCCATCTCCCGTCGTTCATGCTCTGCTCCTTGAGGTCCACATTTGCCTTGGGCATTCACGGCGAACACTCTGCGTTGGGAAAAGAGAACAACGGCGGGTTGTGACGCCTGGGGCCTGGGAAGCTCAACAGAGAAAGTAAGGAGGGATGTTCCCGTGTGTGGGACGAAGTGTTTGTCGCAGCCTCAGGCATAAGTAGGACGAGGGGGCGCGCCATTGTCTACGTGCTTGTTTTCTCTTCATCACGCTTCATTCGTTTTCCAACCAAAACCTTCCATTCCATTCCTTTTTTTTTCTTCTTTTCCAAAGGCTGTGCCAATACATTCATTCCACCAGACACAGGCATGTCTCTTTACACCGTCCTCACCGCAAGCTTGCTTGCGCAATACGCAAGCGCCTACACCCAAGTCAACGTCCCCTCACCCTTTATGCAAAAAAACATCGACCCCATCGTCTTCCCAGGATCCTTCGACAAATCCCATCTCCACTCCTTCTACGGCTCCGACGCCGTAACCGCCACCACCAAAACAAGCGCCGAGCTCCAAAAAGGCTGCACAAGCGCAGAGGTCGCAGACGACCTAAGCGTCTACTGGGTGCCCACCGTCCTCTACACCGCCGACAATGGAAAATCCTACCTCCCAGTCCCCGTCTCGCGCTTCAGCGCCTACTATAACCTCGGCGAGACCCCCGCCGAAATCGCCATTCCCCAAAACGTGCAAATGGTCGCCGGCAAAGCCGAAGCAAAAGACAAAGCCAGCATGGATCCCAACGCGAAATCAGAGTGGTTCTGCGAAGGCGACGACCCCGTTGCCATGGATGCGAACGGGTTCCCTAGTAAATCCTGCTCGACCCACCTCCAACAGCTCCTGTACTTCCCGCAATGCGTCAACCCCGAGACGCTGGCGACAGGCTACAAAGACCGCGCAAACGGCACACCAAACTGGTGCCCGAAAGGCATGAAGTCGATGCCCCAGCTGCGCTTCTCGATCCGCTACGATCTGCGCAAGGCGCTGCCCAACGGCTGGTCTGGCACTGCGCCCGTCAAGCTCGCGTGCGGCAATGCGTTTTGCTCGCACGGTGACTTTATCAATGGGTGGACGCCCGAGGCCGCCGAGAGTATGGTTGCCACGACCAAGGAGAAATATCATTTTCTTCCAGTCAAGGGTAAGCTTGCTGCGACGGCGTGCAAGCCAAAGGATGCAGATCCTACCCGTGGTACGAGTGATTATGCGAAGAGCGTTGCGGCCATGGCGAAGCGCAGTGTTGCTGCTTGGGGCTGGGAGACGAGGTCGAGACTTGCTCGTTTGGTCAACGGGGAGTGAGGAGAGGGGATGAGGGGTGTGTGTGTGTGTGTGTGTGTGTGCTGGTAATAGGCACACACACACATGATAATTTTCGTTCTGTACATATATATATTATGATACCAGATTATTTTTGGCTTAGGTCGATGCGGGTATTGTCGACGCAGCGGTAGCTTGCAAATAGGACTTTTTTCTATGATTTACCTTGAGAACCCTTTTTGATCTTTATTCTGTTAAGCAATGGCTGTCTTTTTGTCTGGAATGATAACTTACCTGGGTTACTGGTAGACGCGATCCAAACCTGCTGTTCCATCTCCATCCACTATAAAGGATACGGTTTACACCTAATGTATGACACTGCCTTGCAAGCAACATAAACCACATCATTCCTAGTCAAAACACCCCCAAGTATCTCACAACAACGCAGCAAGGCTAAGACAGGAGTAATTTCCATACATAAATTACTTGTACCAACAACTATACCCAAAACCACCCTCCACGCTTCCCCTCTAGTGCAAAAACTCCTTGAAAAAGTTAACCGCACTCCTCTTCGCGCGCTCCAATCCCGCCTTCTGCGCCGCATCCTCAGGATTTCCGCGTACCGCAAACCCATGCGTCAAGCCCGGGAAATAAATATACTCCCACTGTACACCCGTCTTGGGCAGAATATCAAACGTAGCCTGCTTCAACTCAGGCGTGTAGGCAAAGTCATTTTCGGGGCTGAGAATCTGCACTGGGACTTTGACACCTTCAATCTCCGACTTGTCGAGTAGCGAGGGGTGCGCGGTGGAGATGGCGTCGATGAGCGAGGGGTCAGCAGCAAGCTTGAAGGCGGCCCAGCCGCCGTAGCAGAAGCCAATGGCGGCGACTTTCTTGTATTGCGACTTGAGGGTTTGCGCGTGGCCTTTGATCTCCGGGTAGCGGACTTGTTTGTTGTGGCGGCCGAGGAAGGCGCCGATGTCAAAGTTCTTTTGCTTTTCTGGGTCCGAGAGCGCGTCAGGGTCTACGACTTCGCCGTCAAAACTGCGGGAACCATGGTTAGAATTGGGGGTCTGCATATGCGTGGGTTGCGATGGTTTTCTTACATATCGGGTACGTAGACGGTCGCATTGGCTTCTTGCGCGTAGTGGTCCGCGATTAAGCGGACGTTCGGAAGCGTCCAACCGAAAACGTCAGTTATGATAAGAATCGCGGCGTCTTTGGAGTCGCCGGTTACGTAGGCATTGACATTGTTGAACTTAGTTTCCTTGCCAACGGTTTGGCCGTTCCACTTGAAGCCGCTTTTGCAGTTGTCGCAAGACATTTTTGAGTCTTGAATTAGGGTATTTTAAGAGTAGTTAAACGGGATGATGTCGTGATTGAGGATTCTAGAGGGATTGTAGTGGGGTACTCAGTTCTTAAATCTTCTAGGCATTGGGTGGGGTAATCTGCCCTGCCGTCCCCATATAACATGGCAAGAATACAAACCTGAATCTGGCCGTCTCGCCGTATTGAGAGCCAATCATGGGGCTCGAGGGATACATTGCGTAGATTCGCCTTTCGGCGTTGCCATGTGCCCGATGACAAAACCCCCGGGACTCCACGCAGGCCTCCACCCTACTAAAACCGATAACGCGCAAGAAAATGAGCAACTTCAGGGTTTGATGGCATTGCTACAATGTTATGATCATAGCTATTCTGTACGCGTGACGTCTTTTCTGTATCGTAAATCATTGTCCATGATTATAAAAGGCCTAAAACAGGCGTGGGTAAATGGCGCTACGGATTGTATGAAGTGCAAACCATTTTAGAATCCCGGGGACTTTCCGCACCCGGTGCCCTAGTAACAATGATGACGATATTCTGGGGCGGAATTAATCGCCGCCTGCTTTTAAATCCGACAGAATCCAGATCGCCGAGCTTTGCCGAGGTACAGGTTTTGGGCAAACGTCAACTCTTCCATCATCGACGTCTTTCCCTTTTTCGTTCAGTAGGCCCGCTTTGTGAAGCAAATCCGCTCAAAGTAATGATTCTTTTTTCCAGGAATTCGTTGCAAGTCATGGACTGCTGTAGTTTAGCAAGTACAGATATATATTGGGTAAACAGACACTCTCAATTCCTGGACTCTCTCAGACATAAAGCAATGCCTTTATGGCACATGTCCTTGAGACTCTAGTGCTGTTGTATATCATCCTCTCAAATATGTCCAGCATTCGATATCGGAACTTATTATGTTAGCTGTTCCCCCAAGATTCGTTCATCCAGTAACCCCGCTTTCTACAAATCATCTTGGAACCTCTTGCGGTAGTACTAAGATTTACCAAGTATTGTACGTAGAGAAGTCCAAAAATTTCTTCCCTTCGAACTAGGGCAAGGCTAGCGTGAATAGCTTTAGAAGTCCAGACTGCCCGCTTAGTAAAGATTCCACTGCCACGACCAAGAATGTCTCTGGATGTTCTCGCCTTGGCTCCGCCAAAAATCCCCGACATTCGTTACCAGACATCTGGGCCTCTTACAAATCTCTAGTGATGTGAAGTTGGCATGCCAACCGCTTTCGGTAAGTCCGATAGTTGTGCAACACTGATATTCCCGAGCCATCTTTTTGGAGTTATACCATTGACATGGCACATAAGAGGTAAGCAAGGCCATTGATTCCTTGCAAGAGTGAAGTCTCGATGTGCTTCTTTTGTGGGGCTAGACATGGTCTTTCAGAGTCTCGCCATGCTAGCAGAAGTATTCAATACCAAACGACGGAACCATTGCATTAGGTATTTTCCGGTGAGAAAAGGATAAGCTGACTATGCCGCTAGTTCCCGAGTCGCACATCCCCAGGTATACCAAGAGATTTCTTTGATCAGATAGCCGAATCTAGACTTTGGATCATGCCATATGCTGTCGGGGTCCTGGTACGAAAGTTTGTCCCCAATGCTGCCTCATGTGCCGGTCAGAGTTACATCGAATGTGAAGTAAAAAGCCAAGACCAATTTTTACAACGTGCGCGGTAGTTATAGGTATGGTTTCAGCTGCCAAGAACTATATGCATCGGGGATGCGCGAATGTTCCCAGAAATAAAGATTTTACGGAGATGTATGGGGGTAGGGTGTCAAGCATGCTGACAGTATATGCGACAAAACAGTCGATGACTGCTGAACTCAGTAATCGCTTGCGCACACATCATACTACATTGGCTTCAGCCCAAAAATGTACATTGATTTAACTCACTCACCGGCATTCATCCCATGTTTTGCTGCTAAGAATAAGGCCATTATACGCTTACGATGGCATCATTGGCGCAACCCTGGTCTACCGTGATGAAGATCTTGGGTTTCTCACCACAAGGGTCTGTTTAATCACAGCTTCGCTAACTGTCTTCCGGTGTCTGGAACCCATTTCTGTATGCCCGGGCAGCTGGACCATGCCCTTGGGAAGAACTGCGGCCCAAGGATCTTCTTCTGGACTTTCCCCGTGGCGGTTTTTGGCAGCTCGCCGTTTACAATTCGCAAGAGTGTCGGCAACTTGTACCCGGCAAGTCTTCCACGGAGATCCCGCCGTAGCTTATCAATAGTTAATGAGTTTCTCGTATTGAGCCGCTTGTCTGGAAAATCCATTGTCATATCCTCTTCTTGTAACGAGACTAGGGCTGCCACACGTTGCCCAAACTCCTCGTCTGCAACGCCCACGACCATGGCTTCGGCGATGTATGGCAATCCCAGCAGTTCTCTCTCAACATCCAGAGCTGATATTTTGTACCCTCCCGACTTGATGATGTCCAGGGACGCTCGTCCGAGGATGAAGTAATACTTCCCTTCCCTTCGTGCAAGATCGCCGGTTCGGAAGTACCCATATTCATCGTGCGCAGTGGCTGTACCTTCAGAGTCATGTAGATATTTCATAAGCATATGCTGTATTTGATTAGAGCCCTCTTCCAGCAAGTTCGAAGTGACGTACCGGGCTCTTGACGAGTATCTCTCCTTCATTTCCCTCGGACAGCTTCACATCTACACCACTCTCAAGTTCACCGACAGAACCTTTGGGTGTGTCTTTATCTCCAAGTCGCATTTTGAAGATTGCGCCGAAGTCAGTTGCTCCATATCTTTGCAGGATATTCTGCTGCAATAGGTCTGTCCAAAAGTCGTTCAGCGGCTGAGGTAACGCCGACGTTCCGCACAAACAAGCGCGGAATTGCCGTGCGCCAGCAACGTACGGAGCTAGTTCATGTGCAGGGAGTTTACGCAGGTGAGTTTGATAAAATCGTCTAAGTCGCATCCAGATAGTGGGCACTGCCGAAAAGAATGTAAGTCGCCTTGAAGGGTGGGCTGCCCCCTCCTTCCAGCGCTTCCACGTCCAAGCCTCATCGAAAGCTCCGCTACGGAACTCGATTCGACTTCCAGAAACGAGGAACGGAAAAAAATTTATGCCGACCCCTGTGGCATGATGTACTGGAAGGAGGTGGAGTATGACGTCGTCTTCAGTCAAGTGATAGTGGTCAGCGATGGACAGCGCACAGTCAAAGACGTATGATCTCCGCATCACCGCACCCTTGGGTGGTCCCGTGGTGCCACTTGTGAAGATCACCACTGCGGGCGCGTTCTCCTCCAAGGCCCGATCCGATGAAATGATTACTTCCTCAGCGCCAAGAGTGGGGGATGAGACGAACGGTCTTATTTCGACAGCCCGAAACTGTGCGTTGCTCGTGGAACAGATGCGCCTTGCAAGAAGACAGCATTTGTCTATATTCTCCGAACTCGCAAGAACGAGCGCTGATCTGGACTTTTGGATGAAGTATGCCGCCTCACTTACAGGCACTGCTGGCGTCATTGGCACCGCGGCCGCCCCAAGCGCCAGTACCGCCAGCATTGCCACGGTGTATTCGTAACCGCCTGGCGCGACAATGGCCATGTACACCTCTTTTCTATTCTCTAGCGCTTTGCGGGTTGCGTCATCGAGGGCATTGAGAAGGGTGTTTCGGAAGGCCAAGACATCTGACAGCAGATGGATATGGGTCTTCTGCAACTCGACACGAACATCCTCGATCGCTATGCGTGCGGGGATTTGGCTGGCAAATCGAACAAGTCGACTAAACAGAGGCTATGCAGACATTAGTAACCAGTCACCGTCGACCTAGATAGATGCGTGCAGTGTAGTGAGTTCGTACAGTATTCGGAAGCACGTTGTCACCAACATGGCTAGGGACGACACTGGTTCGGTCCACCATGGTAGTTTTGCTAGTGCCAGTGCCTTTGCCGTCTTACTCAGACCAAGACAGGACAAATAGTAGGTCGGATGCGCTTCCCAGCGTGCATCGCCGGCACGTGTGTCCAGGATGATGGTAAGGCAGGGCTACTGTGTCGAGCGCTAGCCAAGAGACGTGGGGAAGTCGAGTCGCTTGCACTTGTGGGGAGTCATGGCATTTGGGTGCAGGGTGTCTTACTAGTCGATCGTGGCACAAGATCGCGGGGAAGACTCCCGTGGCCATCCCCGCAGCCAGTCGCTTCGGGCGCTAGCAGCCCGGCAAGGGCGCTCAGTACCCGTAACTAGTGCATGTCAAACGTCTTCTAGGCGACATTGCCTTTGACTCGCACAACGACGAGTCTGGTCATGCCATGCCCTTTTGGGTCCCCTCATCTTGACTGGGCCCCTGCCGAGCCATCCTTACACAAAACAGACTCCGAGACCACTGCCAGGACGCCAACCACACCACCCCTCGACATGCCGGCTTCCCAGCAGACCACCCCGTCATGATATCACGATACAGAATGTCCTTCCCTGCCAAGCTACGCATCCTAGCATCCATCATGTACATATACACATGTACTGACGAGTAGTACTCGAGTGGCGGTGCCGCGTCTTCCTTTGATGCCCGAAGCTGACATCCAAAAAGGCAACATTCCATGGGATTCTTCCTCTTACACATGATTGGGAGCCGGGCCCAATGACAATTAAAAAATCTTTCAACAAAGACGCGTCCCGGCACAGCCGTATAGCATCTGTCATGAGTTTTCCGGTCAACAAAAAGTCTATCGTACGTGCCCCACGCTTCAGTGTCTCAGCCGTGTCCACAGTCATTGAATCTATAGGTCGCGCGGATTGCCTTGTTGAATCAATCTCCGGGCTTATTTTTCCCTGTTTTTCCATACCGTCGTTTGGCTGTGTGACGGACTGTGGTGCCACCGCTCGCACCCGCCAATCGAACGGATCACCAGGCGTATTCGGTTACTTTGGCGAAGTTACGTATGTGCTCGGGCTCGCAGCCGCCTATAATTCAGCCGATTGCTCAGTCATTTTGGTGGTTCGTTCGCGCATCGTGCATAAGGCGTTTCGCTTACCTATAGCTTGCTGTCGTGGCACGAGGCGTGGGTCAATCATGGTCGTCTGGTCAGCCACAATGACTATAGCCACACCTACTTTTTGCCTTGTTGATATGTCGCCCTTTTAGACCAGGGGGTGTTCTTGGATTGTTTGGTACTTGTACCAGAAAAAAATGTTTGCTGGCATCACATGCTGGTCTTTGACCCACATTGGGACGGACCACACGCAACGTGTCTCCCACAAAGACCTACCGATCAGATGACGTATTGTTGCTGAGCTTGTGGAATTTTTTTTGCAATGATAGCTCACACCGCTTTGTAAAAGATGCTATTTGGAGGATCGAGATGGGGGTCTTATGACACAGGGCAGGGCGTCAATACGTTGCACCTTGTGTCGCCAGGGGTGCATGAGTGGTGTGCGCGCACGACCATCCGTACGCCTAGCAGGGTGGGCTCCAGATTTCCGTTGCCTGGGGCGTACACCGACCTAAAAAAGAGGGACGTATTACGGCGCTTTAGGCTGCCATGGTACCGAAGATCGAACATTTTGCCCTGGGCGGCACATAGAGGGCAAAACAACGCCAGGCCGCCATTTTGCAATCCAGTGCGCCACGCAGGACCAAAAAAGACGCTGCCGCGACAGCAGGATTGGGTGACGCAAGCGACAAAGACGAGGCAAAGAAAAAAAGGGTAGGACCCATACGCGCGCCCTGGGGGGCTTTGGGTGACCGGGATGCGAGTGCGAGGGCGTCAGCAAGGAACGATGATCATGTTTTTTTTCGAGCCGCATCCATGCCAGGCCCTGCACCTGGACCTGAACGATGAAGCTGAAGGAAGGAAAAGCAATATATCTGAACACCCCCCTCTCTCTTTGACATTGCCGTGTCGGGCGGCGGCGGCGATACTCAGGGCGGGCTTGGACCCTCTGCGAACACCCGGGCGGCGGCTGCATGTCATCCGGGTTCGCGATGTTTGGTGGTTTGGTGGTTTGGCGGTGCCTTGGGCGCAGTCTTGCAAAAGCGGCCGGGGAAGGCGGCACGAGACACGTTTGGCGCGGTCGAGGGTATGGAAGCGAGTCGTCGATAGGGCAGACCGGCGGGGAAGCGGGCAGTGGGCATGGCGTAGCCGCACAGATGTTTCCGCATGCGGCCATAGCTCACTCGGTCCGTGGGAGCGTGGACCGATGCCGCCCCCCCCCGTCACATCAGGCGCAGCTCCATGGGGCCTTGCGGTGAAGGGGTAAAATTGGCCTCGCGTGCTTCAAATGTCGTGTGTTTGTTCACCTACTCCAGAGCGTCTATGACTCTTTCCGCGTCTTTGGTATATATAACTAATTTCGGGAAACGCCTCAGCCATGTCCCTAGACCTACCACTATTGATCAGCAGGAGCAGGTTGCTGGGCTCTGTCGCGAGCTCTGCCCCCCGCCTACTCAATATGATTACCAAGCCGGAGAATCTGGCCCGTCGAACAAAGTCATTCCATCTCTCATGTCTGGATCAGAACATTGTGCGCGTGTATATACAAACGCTGTGTATATTTCCCGTATGTTGGCCCAGAAGACACAGGTGGACGAGCGAGAACACACGACCGTCGTAGAAGTTTAGTAGGTGCTGATTGTAACGCCAGTTTCCCGACCAGAATAATGCCGAAGCTGCCATACATGCGCTTGGGAATGGTATTCGCCTCTCGCTCAAAAAGATTCCTTTCCTTGCCGGTCTCCTCTCTCTCCCCGATGCTGCCACGGGGAAGCTGGCTCTGGAATATCCAATTGAAGTGTCCGACGAAGAGCTGAATTGCATATTCCGATCAAAGCAAATCCCCTACCATGAGCGTGACTTTCCCTACACATACGAGCAACTCAAGCGAGACGGCATGCCACCCAGTGCTTTCAAAGGTTCCATGTTTGTCCCCGAAGATCTTGCAAACTACCCCGGTGTTCCCAAAGACGGCGAAGGCAAAGTCGACTTTGAAAAGAGCGACGCACCCGCGATGCGATGTCAAGCTTTCTTCATCCCAGGCGGATTGGTCCTTTCCACCTACATGCACCACAGCGTATCCGACTTTTCCGGCATCAACCTTTTCTGGGAAACCTTTTCAACAAACGTGTCCAATCTCCCGCGCCAACACTTGATAAGTGACAGCAAAATCTTTGGTACTTTTTACTTGGATCCCCAAAATTACTCCCAACCACAACTGACAATGACAGATACGATAAGCGTTGCTGACCGGCAATCGCGACTACGGCAAGCGGTTGATTGGCACATTAACCCACAGCAAACAGGTGGCGTTGCAGATTGCTACTGCGATGGGCCACCCACATATCGCAGGACACTACCTGCCGACACCGCCTGCGCTCAACGTCTTTTTGTAATCCCAGTCGGCCGCATACGCAGGTACCAGGACATGTTACGGCCTCACTTTCCACCAGAAAGTACGCCAACAATGTGCAATGTGCTCGCTGCGCTGGTGTGGACGCACGTCACGCGAGCCAGAGGAGACCGACTGCTGCAGCATGGCTTGCAAGAGACGAACCTCGGCATTGCCACCGATCTACGCAAACGCCAGAACCCATGCGTCCCCGCGGATTACACGGGTAACATGGCCCTATTCTCAAAAGCCACTCTCAACGTTTCAGACCTGTTGATCGAGGACCGGTGAGTTTGCTCTTCTTTCTTTCTCCCCATCCCCCCCTACGATCGTGCTTGTTTCACCTCTTTTTTTCTCACGTTACACTTCGTGAACCCAACCCCCAGTGCCTAAAAAAAAGTTTGTTCCTCTGGACTCAAGAGAGAGAGAGACAGAAAGAGAGCAGGAAAAAAAAGAAAAAAGAGGAAAAAAAAGACATGTGCTGACATGAGAAACAAGCGTAACCCTCCCCACCATCATCCGCGTCATCAAAGAAATCCAAACCGCCATCCTCGGCGTCGACGACACGTGGGTATCACGCCATCTCAAATTCTTCAAGTCGATCGCGCAAATCACCGATACCGAGATTTCACTAGGCTCGGCATTTGGATCGGACATGTACATTTCGAGCTGGTTAAACTTTGGCGCAGACCTCAGCTGGGGCATCCCCGGTACTGATCAAGGTAAGCACTCACTGGCCGGTCGGCCCGAGTTCATCAGGCGCACGTATGCGCCGAGCGATGGTGGAATCATCTTCTTGCCCAGACGCAGGCAGCTGGTTAATGGCACGGAAGCGCCGTTTGAGATTTTGGTACGACTTGCCAAGGAGGACATGACGCGCGTGCTCGACGAAGAGGGAGGGTTGCGCAGCTGGGCGGATGCTGTGCTTGAGTAGATTTGGGAGAGGGGTTTCGTATTTGGAACCACCCTTTTCTTACCAGACAAGAGAAGGTGTGTTTGCCCTAGTGCGACAGGGCTGTTGATGAAGCATTTTGGGAATTGCAACTCAAGGAGCATCTGGCGTTGTTTTTTCTTTACAAGAGAATTGGGTTATTCTCTGGGTCACCGGTTGGGATTGGACATCTGATATCCTGTACAATTAGCTTGTTTTGAGGTTAGTATCTTGGGACTTAAAAAGTGCATGTTTGTTTGCTTGCTTCGGCATATCATTTACAACTGTAATCAAATTCAATCTTGTTTGCTTTTCTTCTTGTATTCCCAAATGATTGAAGTCGTTCAGATCGTCCACTAGTTAGGATGTTCAGTCGACGCTGCCTGCATTGGGATAGCATGTACGTAGCCCCGCATCGCCGGCTCCACATGCCTAAGAGGCGGGGCCCGCACCGTTGTTCGCATCCACGATGAGACCCCCGCCCGACTCTGTTGTCTCGATGGCTGGAAGCGAACCGAGGTAGTAATGCTTGCCACCTCTCGTATTAGCACCGGATAACATCAGCCGGAAGTGCTCTGAAGAATGCAGACTGTATCACATTGTTTGTGGAAGAGATAGCGGACTTCAAAAGGAATACGCCCAGCTCGCCCTAGACGGCTGCCGACTGGCTTGGTTGTAAGATCTTGATAGCAATCGGGGGATCGAATGGCAGCATGGCAGACTTCACCGACAATCTCAAGCCCTTGTACGACGGTACAGCAACACTCCAGGCTGAGCGCGACGGCTCGCGCATCGATGTCGATGAACTTGCACACCACCTCCTCGGCCGTGATGACTTTCTTGAACGGCAGAAAAAGGTCCTCGCCGTCTTGAGCAAGGAGAAGCTCTTCCAAAAAGACCAGCAACTCAATCTATCGCGGCCTGACCGGTACCACCTGGGTCTCGCGCGGGCAAAAGCCATCCAGAGGCTGAAGAGGCAACAGTGCTGGGATGACGAGGACTGTAAGATGGCGGAGTATCTCGTCGACGAGCCGAGCCCATACTTCTTGCACACGGCCATGTTCGGTGAGTCCAGTGATTATTACAAGCTGAGATACATATTATGCAGACCTTGTGTAACTGAGGCGCTTGGGCTAGACTGACATGTCTCGTGTCACCCAGTCACAACAGTGGGCGAGCAAGGCTTCGAGGAACAGCAAAATTACTGGATGCCCAGGATTGTCAACTACGACATCATTGGGTGCTATGCGCAGACTGAGCTTGGCCATGGCAGCAACGTCAGAGGGCTGGAAACCGTCGCCCTGTGGGACCCAATGAAAAAGGAATTTGAGATACACAGTCCAAGTCTGACTGCCAGCAAATGGTGGAATGGGTCAATGGGGAGGACTGCCACACATGCCGTATGTACCTCTCGCCCTTGTTGTACGGCGTTCCAGAACCCCCCTTCCTTACCAAAATTTCGCTTCTTAGAGTGAGGCAATCGCTGATGCGCGCCATGCGTAGATCGTAGTGGCGCAACTAGTTTTGCCAAAATCACGTAACCTGCCCAAAGAGAGTAAAGTTTCGAAACCGAAAAGTCTCGACTCGGATTACGTCGCCCACGGCCCGCAGACATTCATCCTGCAGATCCGGGATGAGAAGACGCATCAACCTCTGCCTGGAATAGCGGTGGGTGACATCGGGCCGAAATATGGCTACGCCAGTATGGATAATGGATACATGGTCTTTAACCACTTTCGCGTGCCCAAGTCGGCTATGCTGAGCCGGTATGCTGAGGTGTCAGACGAGACGGGCGCATTCGTGCGGAGAGGACATCCGGCTGTTGTGTACGGAAGCTTAACGTTTGTTCGAGGACAAATCATCATGCATGCAAGACTAGTCCTTGCACGGGCAGTCACTGTCGCAGTGAGGTACTGTGCCATCAGGCGACAGTTCAAGGATCGTGATTCCACCGATCCGTCCGACGAGGAGATGAAGGTGCTCGACTATCCGACCGTGCAGATACGTATCTTGCCACTGCTTGCAACTGCTTTCGCACTGCATTACACGGGTGAATACATGTATACGCTGTATCAGAGGTCGCGGGAGATGATAGAGACTGGAGATTTCGGTCCCTTGGCGGAATTGCACAGCGCAAGCTCGGGGCTGAAGAGTCTTTGCACGACGCTTGCTGCTGATGGCATTGAAACGTGTCGACGTGCAATGGGTGGCCATGGATATGGCGGTGGCAGCGGCCTTGTTGGACTCAATGCTGACTACCTCTCCAAACCGACGGTCGAGGGAGATAATTGGATGATTACGCAACAAGTGGCCGCGTATCTGATCAAGAAAATGAGCAATGCCATCGAACATCCTGACGCGCCACCCAAAGACCCAACGGATGAACTGTTCAGGTTCTACCTCAAGAACCGCAATTATCACATGCCTCAGGAAGTAGTAAAGGACGGATCAATATATGATCAGACTATACTCAAGGTCTTTCAATGGCGGACAGCAGACCTGTCATACCGCGCCTATCAGGCTCGCGTGGTGGAGAGGCAGTCGTGGACACACCTGATGATACAGCTCCACAGTCTCAGTCGTGCATACTCTGAGCAGATTCTCGTCACCAACTTCTACAATGGCCTAGGCTCTGTCTCTCCGGCCAACCAGTCTGCTTTGCGAACATGCTTCCGGCTCTACGCCTTGTACACACTTGATCAGTATGCTTCCTCGTTTACTATGACGGGTGCTGTTTCACCCGAGTCGGTACATGCTTTACAAAACACGGTACTTGATTTAATGACCGAGCTGCGGCCAGACGCTGTAAAGCTTGTAGATGCATGGTCGATACCAGACTTTCTTCTGAACAGTACACTTGGGAGGCATGACGGTAAGGTGTATGAGGAGTTGTTCGACATGGCGCATCGCAAGAACCCATTGAACCAGGTCACTTTTAATGTGGACTGGCGTAGTGACGAGATTGTGCTGGGCAGTGGAGATGGGGGGCGGCATGTGTTGGCGAAGCTGTAATATCCAGCCAATGCATTGTATACAGGTCCCAAGAGGGTGCTGGACAGAAACCCGTCAAGTGTCAAACGTGATGGGGAGGCGAAACTTGGGTAGCGTGAAACTGGATCGTGCTGATCCTTTGTTCTTTACCCCTCTTCCTTTTCCTTTACATTCAACTCTGTCGGGTCAGGGTCCTGATGTGAAATTGACTGGGACGAGAGTAATAAAAGAAAAAGTACCCCTGAAGACGTCATGGCACAGCTGCTTGTCCGTCTAGGTGCATTGCCGTGCATAGCGAGTCGACTGATGATGCTATGCAGTGAATCTAGATATGTAGAGCCACCAAGCCACTGTATGTAGGTATATGCATATGTAACTGTAGTTGGGCGGCCGTTGAAAAAGGGCCGATTGAGGCATGCACTGTGAGCTGATTCAAGGCCCTGGTATATGGCCGTTGAAACGACGGCATCCGGGGTATGTGGGCTGGGGGAGGGGTCGGGTGCCTGGTCGGAAGCTGGCCGGAAGCTGGCGGACACAAAGGGCACGAAGGAAGCTGGGCAAGTGTACGAGGCCGGACAGAGACAAAGGATGAGAAGAGTTTACGCTAGCAGGTGGACGAGATGCCGGACGGCGGCGTCGAAACACTCGTGGAGCTAGGAGACAGCAACGGCAGTAGAAAAGCGGAAAGCCGTTGGGCAGCCAAGCCAAGGCCTCACTCCGAGTTTGACTCAGCAACGGTCGGAGGCCGAGCGCCTGTGACGCACGACGCACGACGGGGGACTGCGGCACATCGAACACACACACACACACTCACTTGCACACCCACACGCCCACACCATGCAGGGCCGTTTTCCCGGCCGCCGGGCCTGAACCATCCTACCAACCCCCTTGCTTCCCATATCTCATCTCGACCAGAAACTTTACATGGACGCTCTTCCGCCAGCCACCAGGCGCTTCGCTCGATGCTTGTAAAGGGCGTGGACTGGGTTTCAGCCTGATCGCTCACGTGAGAGCGCGCTACACCCCTTCTGACGCACACGCCTCTGGTGACTGCGCACCTCCAAAGGCCTAAAGCAAAGAGCCATAGTTGTGTAGACTGGGCCGGGTGCTGTTAGCTTCCCGTCCTGTTTTTTTCTTATTCGCCTCCACATCATCTGCGTGCACTAGACCCCATCGCCCGTCAATGTCCTATCGCGGAAGGCCCAGCAAGGGTTGCGAGGCTTGTCGAGCCCGTAAGGTCAAGGTGAGCACACCGTTCCATTGCCCTCTCTCCCGTGGCCACATTGCACCCCCCAACCGCCAGGCTAATTCCACCGTAGTGCGACGAGGCTAGGCCGGCTTGCAGTCGATGCACAAAGGCGAGCCACGAGTGCAAGTATCGCGACCAAGCCGATATCCTCTTTCGGAACCAGACTGCTTCGGCAGCACAGCGAGCCGAGGAATCATGGCGGAAGAGATCAAAGTCCCACCAACGTCCAACCACGGCAGAAACAAACACGACTGCCTATGTCAAGACGCCTCCAAGCGATGCATCTACTCCGCCCACGCTCGACGACACACGCTCCTCGAGTGGGAGTGTGCACTCGCCCAGCGGGTCCACTGATGACGCTACCCAGGATGCATCCAACATTTCACTGGCTACCATTGACCTAAGCAAAATGACCATTACGCCGGCACCCAATCCGGACTTCCGCCGCAAAGCATTTGAGCGATTCGTCTATGACTTTGTACTGCCCGACTCCCCCACCATGCCAAAGGACGAGCCGTCAGACGCCTTGTGGACTTTTATTCCCGTGCTGTACCAGGGTGCCTCGGAGGACTCGTTGATAGCTACTACTGTTGATGCTGTTGCATATGTCAACTATGCAAACAGATACAAGGATGCCCATGCCGCTGCATTAGGCGAGGAGTGCGTTGCTAAAGCCATTCCCATGCTAACAAAGGTGATTGCGGACAAGAAGCGATCGGCTACCAATGAGGCCTTGTGCTCAGTTTATCTTATGGGGGTTTATGAGGTATGCAAGGACCGAGTTTTGGTTAGCACAGTCCTAACCTTGTCAGAACCTCACCAATGTGCAGCGAAAAGGCACGTTTATTGCCCATCATCATGGTGCTACTGCGTTGCTCCAGCTACGAACTGTCGAGCAGTACTACAGTGACCCGATTTCAGCCAGATTGTATGAAGTAGCCTATGCACAGATGGTAATACCAATGTATATTTTCCCTGTGCGTTGCTGACGTTGTCAAATAGTTACTCGGCAACCTACAGTCAGCAAAGCGCCCGCCCATCCCTAAAAAAGACGTAATCAAGGTGGAGGGGTACCTTCCTAGTCTTTACAGCAATTCTCACGTGTTTGTCATCCGTCTAATATGGAGAGAAGCCATGTTGCATGCAAAGTGGCATGAGATTAAGCAAAGCGCGAACCCGCCCACTAGTCGCTTAGCTATGCTAGAGATTTTCCAGACCGCTATCGAACTAGATAGCGCGTTTCAAGCCTGGGAATCGCCCCTCACGCCGGCCTGGGATTACCACATGGCACCAAATACACCAGAGGCTCGGACAGCTTATGATGAAAAATGGCGGAATCTCTTCCTAGCGAGTCGAGGTGCGCCGCCAGAGATTCATGCATACCAAAGCCTGAAGAGGTGCTGGATCTGGGGCTTTTTCAGAACCACTCGCATATTCCTCCTCCGTGACCTTCTTGAAATACTTAATTGGTTGTTGCGATTCCCAGAGCCGGCCCTGCCTTATCCTCCTATGGCCGAGGGCGGTTCTACAACCACTAATGGGCAGTCTGTTTCTGTTTCACTCAGCACCAAGAGTCTGCGTATGCAACAATCGATCACTACTACCCACTTGGTTGAGGTCATTGACAAGAATTGCTCAGCACTATTTGGTAGCTTTACAGTCCCGATACACCTCAAATCATATAATGATGTTGTTGGGATGAGAGGTTATGTTTGTTTGTGGCCGCTGGGTATCATGGACGCTGCTCTGAGCTCGGGCCTGGTTCCTGATGTTAACGGGCCAGGAAGCGGACAACCGTCGCCAGCAACCCACTTTCCGACGTTCCAGACATCGCCAAACAGCGATTCTTTCCAGTCGAACCCGGGCACGGAATTTAAAAATGCCTATGCATTGGCACCACAATTCTCGGAGCTCGCCACCATAGTGCCGAAACTGGAAGCATCAAGTGCAAGCAACAGTCCAGTGAACAGCACACCAGTATACGACCACATGGCGAAGAAGAACCACATTTTTGACTCCAACCCGGCACACCCGTATGACAGTCCAGTGCACCTTCCGGTAGACTTTGACATACCTGAACCAAAGAAGATGGACGTTGCTTCAAGACGTGAGTGGGTCAACCGCCTCTTATACTATCTAGGGACGGAGCTGGGACTCAAGAAGGCGCTATATGTGCCGCTTACTGAGGGGTACTTGCCGGTCGTGAAGCCTGCTGTTGATCATATTCTGGGTCGGTGATGGTGGTTGGGTTAGAGAGTGGTGGCACGGAGGATGTTTTGTTGTGTACAGCGCATGAAGATACGGAGCATGAAGTAACAAGGCATCCCGCAGGCGTTTGGTTTTTTTTTTGTGTGTGCAAGGGCGGTTCTCCCTCGCGTTGTTTATCAAGCAACATATCCGTGTCTTGCTTTTCTTGTTGGGTGTATATGATGGAGAGGAGGGAAGAGGATGTGCTGGTTGTATATAAGCAAGGTTGGAAGTTGATGGTGGTAAGGTAATGGGGAGTAAAGAAAGGAGGGGTGATATATGTATGGAAACATGAGGGACAGGAAGTAGATTTAGTAACACGCTTTCTGGATAGTTATGATTAGGTATTGAATGGAATCTAGTACATTGATCACATCTCATTGCTCAAGCGACGGAGATAGGCCCCGCGCTAGTGCAACCTCCGACCCCACAGTTGAGGCTTACATAACGCACTCGTGTATCTGAACCTCTGACCCAACATTTGCCCCGTCCGCAGCCGCGATCCGACAAGCCGCATTGTTTGTTTCAGTCTGAGAGGTAATCGGACATTTCGACGCATTGAAATTTTCGAAGAGGCTACAACCCGACAACATCGGTTGCAGACGAAAAGAGCTAGGAAAGAAACGGGATTTAAACGAAGCCAAAAAAAGAAAGAGAAAGGAAAGACAGAAACAATGGACATTCGCGTGCTCCGCCCAGAAGATATTCCACACGTGCAACTAGCCAATATTACGAATTTGCCGGAAAACTACTTTTGCAAGTACTACCTGTACCATGCATTGAGCTGGCCGCAACTCAGCTACGTAGCCGTAGATGTAAGTTGCAGCACGTGACAAAAATATCCCCCTCAAACCAAACCAAACCAAACCAAACCAAACCAAACAAACTCGAACAGAAGTCAATTCATTCCTCAAAATGTATGCTCAATTCTGACAAAAAAAAGGTCTCGCGCCCCCCCAAAACCCCCTACGACCCCCCCAAAATCGTCGGCTACGTGCTTGCAAAAATGGAAGAAGAACCCACTGACGGCGTGCAACACGGCCACATCACCTCGCTCTCTGTCATGCGCACACACCGCCGCCTGGGGCTTGCCGAGAAACTAATGCGCCAATCCCAACGCGCCATGGCCGAGACCTTTAACGCACACTACGTCTCCTTGCACGTCCGCGTCTCCAACACCGCAGCCCTGCACTTGTACCGCGAGACGCTGGGCTTCAAGGTGGATAAGGTCGAGGCCAAGTACTATGCGGATGGCGAGGATGCGTATAGTATGCGGATTGAGCTTGCGGATGTTAAGAGGGCGGTTAAGGAGGAGGAGGAGAGTGTTTGGGGGAGTGAGGGTGTGGATGAGGGGGAGGCTGTTGGGAGTGAGGGGCGCGACGAGGTTAAGATGGTGAAGATGGGGAGGGGGAGGGGGGTTGTGGATTTGGTGGAGAAGAATGAGGCTGCTACTACTACTGCTACTGCGTAGTGTGGGGTGGGAATTGGGGGGGATAACAGGACTCATGGAAAAACGTTTGGTTTAAGAAACGAAACAAAGTCAATTGTAGCGTGGACGGAAGCGAAGTTTATGTGGATTTTTAAGACATTGGAATTGGTATGACAACAAACAAGTCTTGATACAGAGCATAGATCTATGTATATCGTATCTTTCTTTTCCCCCCTTCCCCTTTCCATATTTCTATGTCAAATGCCCACCAACATAAGATCGAATGAAGAAATATTACAACAAAATCATCTTACAACAGATAGAAAGAATAGAAAAGAAAAGAAGAAAAGCCAGTTGTAGATTTACAACAAAAAAAACCGGCAGTGGATATCAAAAAAACAAATCCTGAATCGTTAATTTCCCATGAAAACCTTATAATCCCTTTCCCAAGTCATCATGATAGGAATTGTTTACCTTTCCCTTGTGTTTTTACATCAAGCCACCCAGGACAACCTTGCCCACGCCGCCAACTTCGCTCTTAACGCCAGCACGACAGCTATCTTCAAACTCTCTTACAACACCGGCGAGAATAATCTTACGGACTCGTGCGTCGGCCTTGTTGAACAAGTCGCCGACAATACTGGGGACGCCTCCACCGGCCATGGCGACGCTCTCGGGGGTACTCAGCATGGACAGGATGCGTGTGTAGCAATCGATGAGGACATCGCAGAGTGTGGCGAATGTGCTGAAAAAGTCTGGGTCAAAGGGTAGCGACGGGGTTTGCAGGTGCGTATACGACTCGTTTGGCAGGAGCAAGTCATCAGTCGGTGGCGAGTCGATGCCCATGCCCTCTATGCCGTTGAAGCTATTGCTCGGGGTGAGGATAGGAAAGTCACCGGTTGCGCTGCTACTACGACGACCTTTACTGCCCATGCCCATGGTCATGCCCATGTTTGCGCGCTTGAACATTTGCGGGAGGCGAGCACGGCTCAGGGTTGAAGGAGTCGAGCCATCGGCAGGGTGCATGGACTGGTACTGCTCAAACTCAATGAGCAAGGCATTGAGGGCCTTGAGGTAGTCGGCGGGCGAGTTTGCGTTGAGGTCGAGGATGGTGGGGAGGGAGAAGCCGAGGAGGAGGTAGTGGGTAGCGCGGCGGGCTTGGTTGCGCGAGGTAAAGGAGGGGAGGCGGGTGAGGTCGGATTTGGAGAAGAGGAGCGTGTTGAACCAGTATATTCTGCCTTCGTGACTGCAGCAGGGGGTTTGTTAGCTTTTGGAAGGGCAGGCGGGACAGGGGGCAATGGAGGAGAGGAAGAGAGAGCCATACGCCTTGCGGAGGTAGTCGAGCGTGGAGATGCGCTTCGAGGCGAGCTCTTGGATATGCTGGAAGACAAGGTTTGGGTTTGAGCCATTGGGGACGGGGATGGGGGCGGCAGGGGCGAGGGTGCGGTTGGACTGCTGGTTTGCGTGCAGAATGTCCTTTTGGGTGGGCGGGTGACGCAGGGGCATAGGCACGGCCATGGCGAAAGGGTTCTTTGGCTTGTCGACGGCGCTCGAGGGGCTCTGGGGGGCGTCGTGGGCCTTTTGCTTGGAGGAGCGAGTAAAGGTGGAGACGGAGAGGGTCGGGCGCTGGGGGTGGGTTGGCTGGGGCGCGGGGGCCTTTTCAGCTTCGGCGAGGGCCAGCGTGGCCGAGGGCGTCCTCGTGTGCGACGAGGACGACGTCTTGCGGGTGCTGGACGAGTTTGTGGTGCGTAGTGAGGCCGAGCGCGAGGTGCGCAGCTGGGAGCCGAGATCCGTGACGGATGAAGCGATGCTGTGCCTGCTTACGTGGCGGCGGCGCTGGGGGGTCGTGGGCTGCTGGTGCTTGGTGGGGTCGTCTGCAGAATCGTGGGGAGGGGGCGTGTTTAATCTATTAGGAACAGCAGCATCGGGAGCAGCAGCATCAGCAGAGTTGGTGATGGGCGGCGCGGGCTGGACATGGAGCTGGGGCGGCGCCGTGTCTGCGGGGGCAGCATGCGAGTGGGAGAGGGACGAGGCGGCGCCGTGTCTGGAGGCGGTGCGATGCCTGCCGCCGAAGAAGGAGGGCCGGCGGGAGAAGATGCCGTGCTGGTGTTGCTGTGTCTGCTGGTGGAGGGGAAGATGTTGGTGGTGGTGGTCGGCCATGGTGAGCTGGAGGCATCCAGCCAGCCAGCAAGGGTGGGGGCTACCGAGCGATCAGGGGCGCGGTTTCACCCTTGGGCCCTGCCTGAACATGCGCCCACGGCCTGGCTGACGGGCTATAGTTTTTTCGATAGTCGATTGGCGATGTGTATGTCTAGATGTATGTATCGCGACGGCGACAGCGACTCCAACAACAACAAGCCGACACCAGGACGCGACAGACTCGGCGGACCGGGGCGCCACGAGCTTTAAACACGAAGCGCGTTCCACGAGCACCATGCGCTGCTGCGACAATGCCAAAATTCAGGCCGTGTTTCGGTTCGCGGTGCCAGCTGATGGACTGCGCGCCTATCATCCATCCCATCCATCCCCCAGTTTGACCAACGCAGGAACAGCCAGGCCGCAGTAGGCCCACTACCCCTGCCACTCCACCACCACCACTCCCCCTCTCCGCCATACAACCCACCCCCCAAGCCAGCAGCCGCCCGCACTGCCTGTCCTCTCTCTAACATCTAATATCCTTCCCTGCGCCCCCCTCCATTCCGCAACCACTGCCTCTGCACCCCCCGCCCGCCGCCCACCATGCAGCGCAGACACAGCGCCCGAGTATGTACTTAGCACGCCCTCGCCCACACGCCCCAAGCCCGCCTGCTAACGCTCCGCAGGGAGAATGGATCCCCACCGAGGGCCAATGGCCCGTCGATCCCCAGCAGGACATGCCCGTCTCTGACGACCGTATCTGGGTCGACGGCTGCTTCGACTTTGCCCACCACGGTACGCCGCCCACTGCCTCTCTGCACCACCTTCACCACGCTCACTCTCCCCTCTAGGTCATGCCGGCGCAATGCTGCAGGCCCGCCAGCTGGGCACCGAGCTCTACGTCGGCGTCCACTCGGACGAAGCCATCCTCGAGAACAAGGGCCCGACCGTAATGCGCCTCGACGAGCGGTAGGCCTCCTCGCTGCACCCCTAAATGCCTTGCGCCGGCTGACTGCCATAGTGTCACCGCCGTCGAGGCCTGTCGATGGGCAACCAAGGCCGTCCCACGAGCCCCCTACGTTACCTCGCTGCCCTGGATCACCCACTACGGCTGCCAGTATGTTGTCCACGGCGACGACATCACCTCGGACAGCGATGGCCGCGACTGCTACCGCTATGTCAAGCAGGCCGGCCGCTTCAAGGTCGTCAAGCGCACCCCGGGCATCTCGACAACCGACCTCGTCGGTCGCATGCTGCTGTGCACCCGCTCCCACTTTATCCCTTCTCTCGACAAGCGCTTGACCGGTGAAGAGGGCCCTGGCGACGAGGCAGAGCGCACAAAGGCTGGCCAGGAAATGCTGCAGCGCATCAAGGACTATGCGACTGACGCCTCGGGCCGTGCCCCTGGCTGCGATGTCTGGTACTGGCATGCTTCTCGACCAGTCAAGCTACGGAGAACCACAACCAGCGCCGTTACCAGCCCTACCCGCCCCGATCACCCCCGCCAGGAATCCACGGTCTCGCAAGTAGGCCCCGTCAGGGAGGAAAAGGGCAAGTTCAACCAGCTCGTTCAGGGCAAGGGGCTTAAGGAGGGCCAGTCTGTCGTCTATGTCGATGGCGGCTGGGATCTGTTCTCCTCTGGCCATATTGAATTCTTGCGCTCCGTCACGCAATGCGAAGAAGACCGCGCGAGGGAAAACGGATGGTACACGGAAGAAGCCAAGCAGGAGCGCATACAAAAAACCGGCGAAGACTACGGCCCGGTTTTCTTGATCGCCGGTATCCACGACGACGAGGTCATCAACCACTGGAAAGGCATCAATTACCCGATCATGAACATTTTTGAACGTGGTCTATGCGTTTTGCAATGCAAGGTACGCCCCGCTTGGGTGATTTTGTAATTACATACTAACTTGTTCAGTACGTCCACGCTACCATTTTCGGCGCTCCTTTCTCCCTTAGCAAGGCCTTCCTCCACGCCCTCCCCTATTCATCTCCCCTGGCCATCTACCATGGCAAGACTACCTTTATGCCACTCCAGTTCGACCCCTACGCTGTGCCCAAGGCGATGAACATTTACCGCGAGATTGGCGACCATGGCTTCCAAAACGTCAATGCCGCCGAGATTGTCGCCAGGATCATGAAGGGCAGGGCTCTGTACGAAGAGAGACAGCGCAAAAAGGGCGAAAAGGGCATCACCGAGGATGCAGAAAAGCTTCGACAGGAGATGGAGCGCGAGCAGAGGAGGAGGGAGGTTGAGGGCCAGTTTGGCCTATGATATGGTGGTCGGCCCTACTTGGTCGCGGCGCTGCACGAGTGTGGGTGGTGCGTTGGGCTTCTTTGGCTTGGCCTTGAACCAGACCCGGCGTTTTTCCCTTGATCGTCAACAGACGCCAAGTCTAGACTGAGCCTCGAATTGATCCTTGCCGCGAGGAACATCCTCGGTTTTTCTCCACGATGAGATCCAACGATGAGATCCAGATCGCCCGCATCAACCTTGATTAGACCCTCTCGCTTGTATTTCAAAAGCAACACTAGGGTCTTGGTGACATCACCACCATGGCCACCATGGTCAGCCGCTGACGGCGCCTCTTCAGGCACACAAATGTTACACCGCGTCGGGCATTACCGGTATAGGGCAAGGTGCCATGTGATTGATTGCCCCAACACTCCACATTACCCTTTTTCCCACCCCACCAGTCTCCGCACTGGGGGGCCTTTCTTACGGTGGATAAACAATTAAATAGCGAATTTCTCAAGATCCCTTCATTCTCAGCCACCAGCTTTGCACATTGTGAAATGCAACGTTTCTTGTCATGACTATCGTAACCCCCGTTGCTGCATTCCTCCTCATAGCCGTCAGCTTGTTGTATGCTGGGATCAGGTTCTGGCAAAACAGACATGCTCTGCCTCTGCCCCCAGGGCCCAAAGGAATCCCTATACTGGGAAACGTCAACGACATGCCCAAGCCAGGCATGCTCGAGTGCCATCACTGGTTGCAGCACAAGGAGTTATACGGTCCCATTTCCTCGGTGACAGCCATGGGTCAGACCATTGTTATCATTAACGACCCTACCATTGCTCTCGACCTCTTACGCGACCGGTCTGCAATCTACTCATCACGCCCCAGTCTCGTCTTTGCCGGTGACATGTAAGTTTCTATGTTTGTTCTGGACAAGGGAAGCCGGTATTGACCATGGGCTTGTTGCTTATAGGGTGGGTTGGCGCCATGCAACTGTCATGATACCCTACAACGATGTGTGGAAGATACACCGGAAGAACATCACAAAGATTACGAGTACAAGTACATCGCTTTCCGTCTTTGACCGCGTCCAGGAGGCCGAAGCCGCGCGGTTTCTGGTCAATATGTTGGAATCACCAGATCGACTGTTTGAGCATGTCCGCAAGGAAGCTGGGAGTGTGATTTTGAAAATTACATATGGATACAACATTGTCCCACATGGAAAGGATCCACTGGTTGATGTGGCGGAAAAGACTATGGAACAGTTTGCCGAAGCTACTGTTCCTGGGCGGTGGGCCGTTGACATTTTTCCATTCAGTTCGTTGTGTCCTTCCCTCAGAGACTATCGAGAAGTACTTTCTAACCTCGTTAGTGAAATACATACCCGACTGGATGCCCGGTGCAGGCTTCAAGCGCACAGCAAAGGAAATGGCGAAACAGCTCGATCAATGCACAACTCGGCCATACGAATTCGTCAAGCAGCAAATGCAAGAAAAGAGACACACACCTTCCTTCCTCTCCCAAAGCATAGAAAGCGCAGACAGCACTCCAGAAATGGAATTCTACCACAAATGGGCAGCACTCGCCCTCTACCTCGGTGGCGCAGACACCGTGAGTCCCCCTATCCACACACCCATAACCGCATTTCCAAACCACAAACTGACTTCAATCCTACCAGACTGTCTCAGCAATCTCAACCTTCTTCCTTGCAATCCACCTCTTCCCCACAGTCCAGTCAAAAGCCCAACAAGAAATTGACTCCCTCACCCACGGCCTCCGTCTCCCCACCCTAGCCGACCTCCCCAACCTCCCCTACATCTCCGCCATAGTCCAAGAAACACACCGCTGGCACCTTGTCGCGCCCATGGGGATCCCACATACGAGCACGAAAGAAGATGTGTATATGGGTTACCGCATACCCAAAGGCTCAATATTGCTAGCGAACAACTGGGGCTTCATGCATGATCCTGCCGTATACCGCGATCCCATGGCATTTCGGCCTGAGCGATTTGTAGCGTCGGAGGGGAGGGAAGCGGAACCAGACCCGCGGACGCATGTGTTTGGGTACGGCAGGAGGATTTGTCCGGGGAGACAAGTAGCAGATCATGCGCTGTTCGTCACGATTGCACAGACACTTGCTGTCTTCAACGTTTCCCCTAGTATAGATGCAGAGGGAAGGGTGAAGCGGAGCGAAGTCAAGTTCGAGCCCGGCACAATAAGTCGCCCCGTACCGTTCTCATGCCGCATCACGCCTCGATCCAACGCGCACATCACGTTAATCCAAGAAGCAGGCCAGAGATTCGCCTACGAAGAAAGCGATGCTGCGGAACTTGAAAACATTACATGGTAGTCATTCATACATACATATTTTTTTTTTAAAAAAAACATCTCTCATACCCGCAACCCTACAGGTACAATCCATGCCTCCACCCTCTACTACACACCCCCCCTCTCCCTCCTCAACCACCCCACCCCAACATACACCGCACTCGCCACTGCACTCCCCAACAACGGCCCAACCCAATAAATCCAATGATACCCCGTAAACCCACCCACAACCGCCGGTCCAAAACTCCGTGCTGGGTTTAAACTCGCGCCCGTATAATACACACTACACACATGCGCCACAAACAGCGACGCACCAATGTACATTGGTTTCGCCCACCCTCCTTCCAACATGAGGATGGTGAGGATGAGTTGGGAGGTAACCAATGCTTCGAGGAAGAGGCCGCGGGTTAGCGAGATGGAGGGAGAGAGCGTGGTGGCGATTGTGAGGGGGCCTGGGAGAAGGGCGGAGGTGAAGGCGGAGGCGGCGATGGAGGCGAGGAGTTGGGAGATGATTGTTTGGGTTGCGCGGTGCCAGTGAATTTTGCGGGTGAGGTAGAGGGCTATTGTTACCTTTTTTGTTTGTTTGTTTGTTTAGTACACTTGATATGTTTTGTTTTTGTTGGAAGGGGGGGGGCTGCTTACGGCTGGGTTCTAACATTTGTTAGTTTCATATCTTCTGATGAATCAGGTTGATAGATGGGGGAGGGAATGGAAGTAAAAAAGGGGGGATGGATAACGTACGAATTTCCCACCGCTGATATCGGCGAAGATTGCTACGTTAATCGCGAGTGAGGCGCCAAAGGCAAAGGCTATGTAGAGAAGTTTTGCTACGTCGGGTAAGGGATCGCCGCTACCGGATAGCTCTTTGCTGCCCGCTGCGTTCAAGGCGATTTGCGTGCCGGTGAAGGCGAGGGAGAGGAACATGAAGGTGCCGATGAACTCACCGATGAAGGCGGCGGCTTCGGTGCGGAGGGTGTGGTGGCTGTGGGGGGTTTGGGAGGGGGTTGTTGTGTTGGTGGAGGGTTCATGGAGGGGGAGGCTGGGGGGTTGGTCTTTGGAGGTTACGGACATTCTTGACGAGTAACTTCAGAGGAGCAGGAGAAGATTGGGGTTTTCTTTTTAGGTTGGGAAAATGGACAGGCTTTTGGGAGTGGAGAGGAAGAGGGTGATGGGGAATTTGTAGTCTAATATTTGTGTCCGATATCATGCCACAGTGAGGTTGTGTGAGTGTGACTGAGCTGTGGTTCCCCCACTTCGAGCCTTAAACGGTAGATTGCCTGTTTGAACGAACCTATTGTTGTAGGGAAAATAGATACACAAAGTTGGATACTGTGTCTTGGATATGCTAGTGCCACGGCGTGGAGACGGGTGAGTTGTGATTGTAGGATCCGGTGCCCCAAGTCCCATTTGGCGATGCAACACAGGCTTGGTCGCCTGACTTCAGGACTGCTGTAGACTCTTAGCTACAGAAAAATATCCTCTTGACATCGATCTGCTCTCTATGTCCGATAACGGGTTTGTTTAGTGTAGCACATATTTGGGTAAGATGTGCTCCGGCGTAGATGTATGTATCTTGTGTAAGTGATGGCATCAAAACATACCAATGACCTTACTGTCGGGTATATATGTCTGTATATCTGCGATAAGAATATGGAGTGTTGTTGTGAAGTGGTGTAATCTTGGAAGAAGCAGTCAGTCGCTGCCATCGTTTTGATAGGCCGGTGAGATTGATCACTTCAGGCGCCTTGTGTGCCTATACCTCGACTAGACTAGCTTTATAGGGTGCCACGATTAAAGCGTCAGTAATGGAATGATGTATGTAAACATATCCCTTTTAGTTGTGGATATAAAGCATGGATAAATACTGAGAAAACATATCCTCTGAACTAGAGGAGCAATCCCAAGCTTTGTCTTAAAGTCTATCCTCTCGTTCTCTCAGCATATATTGCGGGTTAGTCTCATCAAAAACAATGATTGTGACTAGAGAAACTTTCCTTGCGCGCACAAGTACGTGGGACAACGCATGTGAATGGTCGTTTAAATAACGGGCGTACAACATATCCTGCCAGCCCTACCTCGAATCACGTCTAGTACCGAGCACATGGGACACCTGTTGCACACTCTAACTGACAATCCGCTTTCAGCTGATTTGCTTTTGTGTAGCTTTTGTAAGCAATCATCTTGCACGCAAGCTTTCACAGCTTCTGCTGCAAAGACGGTCATATCAACTGCGCAACCAGGAGAGATTATTCTCCATGTTACACCAGACTATTTAGCGCTTCTGGCGCGTCGTGCTTGCTGCAGTCAAAACCACTACGTCGGGACTTCCCGTCGCACAGGCCTTATCCGCTTCGCGCCAATGCGCTTTGTCAGTGCATTGTGCACCAATGTAGATGGGATGATTTGTGTTCCATATCAGACCAAAGGGATATGGCGACCTTACATAGCTTGGGATGGAACTAGACTGGTTGTGGTCTGGGCGCTTTTTCCAACAACGAGTCGTTTTAATACTTATACCTGCGGTTCGATCTTCGACATGCATTTAACTTCGAATTATCGATACTGAAGTCTCACTCCTGACTTGGCTAGGCTGAGATGGTAAACTGTTGGTGACCGCCGAGTCAAGATGGTGAACCAAACCCCACGTCACCCTGATGACGTCGGAGATTTCTTTAGTCTTGCCGGTCCTTCATAGCGAAGGTCACGGTTCAGACTCCGACACTCGCTGGGTGCTAGGCCGATACTAGCACCAACACCGGCTGGAAAGCGGAGTTGCTTCTCCAGGAGTGCATACCAATATTTTGCACATGGTCCACTGCTCTCCACTATACACTTTCATCGACGATGTCTCTCCCATCACTCTGCAGACTTTCTAATCACTAATCCAAGCACCACCCCTCACAACAATACAAACCTAGTTCTATAAATGTCGCCAGAAGATAAGCCATGTGTGTACTACACGACCTGCACATGACCGTCTACCAAGTTTTGGCTTATTACGTACAGTCGAGTACTGCAGGCATCCGCGACGGACGGGAAACTATAGATATTTGGGTCAAGATCTGCAATTCTAGATTTGCAGATCGCAACTGCGGGACGCTGGACGTCAACCGTCTGTCAAGATACCCCACATCCGGCGTACTACTAGGCCAAGCGTTGCATTAGCGCTCGATCATGTTACTCCAAATGAACAGATCAAATTAAGCGATCATAGAAATCTTGGATAGCCGCTCTCCCGCTCCGGCAAAAGCTTGGGCGTTGATCGCGCGTAAGGGACAGTACTTGGATATTTATCCAGAAAAGGCCGGTTGTTCCTAATGCGGAGTTAAATTCACCAGCCACGTACGAGATTGTGCGTCCTTTTTCAATCTAATCAAAATCTAGCCGCAAAAGGTATATTGAACTGATCCTAATGGGAAGGTGTAGTGTAGGGATATAATTGATAGTCTCGAACTAACACCAAAGTTACCCAGAGAAAGCAAAGTGAGTATTTGAAATGACGAAAGTTTTGGTATTGAGACCGGATACGTTTGGAGGATATGAGGCGAAAGAGCAGCGGGCTCAATTTAAAAGCATGGCGACGTTTCCATCATTTCTCTCATTGCATCAATAGCAAGAATGCGCTCCACGGTTCTACTTCTCCTCGCCACCCCCTCGGCGCTAGCTTTCCCATGGCTCAAACCCGAAGGTCTCGAGGCGCTACTGAAACATCCAGAAGCACGCGCTGAAATCGAGCGTAAGCTGCAAAGCCGAAATGCTGCTTCAGCAGAGCCTCGCCAACTTGTAGACACCCTCAAACCTATTCTGGACCCTCTACTAGGACTCATCCCAACATCCGACTCTGTGAAGGAGTTGAAGAGGTTCCCTGAGGGTATGTATACTGTAGTTAGTTCACATGTATTACTAACGAGTCCTAGCGGACTACCCTTTCCAACCTCCTGGCCCTACTGACCAACGCGGTCCCTGTCCTGGCCTCAATACATTGGCAAATCATGGATGTAAGTTTTGTACTCAAACGTTACCTTTTAGTCAACTAACAAGTCTAGACATTCCACGAAATGGCATCGTGACAATCGCCCAAATCCAAGCCGGAACAGAAGCTCTCTTCAACATGGCCCCTGACCTAAGTGCACTCCTCGCTACTGGCGGAGCCCTCGATGGTGGTGACATCCTCTCCACCAAGATGAGCATCGGCGGACCCGACGCACGCGTAGGCGTCCTAAACGGAGCGCTCAACTCCCTCCTCGGCACCCCCTCAGGTATCGCAGGTCACGGCAAATTCAACGAAGGTGATGCCTCCGCCACCCGCCTCGACTTCTACCTCCAAGGCGACAACATCTCCTTCCAACCCTCCCTCTTCAAGCAACTCCACCAGCAAGCCCTCGCCCACGGCAACGGCACCTACAACACCGACGCCATAAAAGAGCACTTCAAAGCCCGCTACTTGGCCTCTCGCGCCGCAAACCCTCAATTCTACTTCAACGTCCCCTCCGCCGGCGTTGTAATGGGCGCCTACTACTTCATCCCGGGCTTCTTCTCAAACGGCACCCTCGCAAACGAAGCTTCCATCACGAGTTTCTACGGCGCAAAGCCTCGACAGCCTGCAAAATGGGATGATCCGGAGCTAGAATACACAAGCGTGCCTGAGCGTATACCGGAGCAAGGATGGTACCGTCGTGCAACACCCATGACGGTCGTCGAGGCCGCAGCAGGTATCCTAGACGTCTATCTGTACGCTAGACCGGCGATCGGGGGCGCGGGCGCGGATCAAGCGTGGGTCGTGGGACCCGCGGTTTTACCTGACAATCCCCAGGCGCTCTCGTGCTTCCTTTACAATGCTGTGTATGCGAATTTCCCAAGCGAACTGTTTAATTCGGTGCTGCTGGTGCAGAGTGTGGTTAATTTCCTGAGTGGCGCGTTGGTGCCGGGTTATAAGGCGTTGGGGTGTCCCAAGGAGTTCCCCGATATGACTGGGTTTACTTCTGCGGGCTATGATGAGTGGGCAAAGGGGTACACGGGGGAGGCGAAGACAAAGGGCGTGGGGAGTGGGTGGTATAGGAAAGGGTGAGGATCGGTGGTGATTGTGCTCATGTAAATCTTGTGGCTGGTATAGTTCGAAGTGTCATTTCAATGTTCATTTCAATGTTCTGTTGTATGTCATTTGCTGGGCTCAGCTGCCGCTTGCCGAGCATCTCGCTTCTACTTGCTACTACTGATTTTTTTTGTCTGTGTCTACCGAGCCTAGCGGCTTGTCACACGGGATGTACAGATGTTCGAGTCGCTCCCCATCTGTCAAGAAAAAGACAGCAGCGGCTCGATACGAAGAAGCTAACCGAGTCAAGTCGAGCTTTTCCCTACACAGTATCTCATAAACACCAAGCACTTCTATATTTGTTTTTTTCCAGTCATGTCGTGCAGCAAAGCTATCATGTCGATCCACTGTCATTCAACAACATCGATGCCGTATGCTCGATAGGGAAAATTCTCTAGACTGTGCCTCATCTCCACCACTCCATCCTCTGACATGAGGCGTCCATCTTCGCCAACCACAGGACCTCTCGCTTCGCCTTGAACAGGAGTTGCATAGTCGGGTACCTGATCATCAGCCTCTGTTCTCCCCATCAGGACATCCATCTCGCGTCCCTTGCAGACCCGTGCTAAGCCCGGATGTGGCACCCACACCACACGCATGCCAGCCCGTCGTGCAGCTTCAACCCCCGCGATCGAGTCTTCAAAGACGAGGCATTCGCGGGGGTCAAGCGCGCGCTCTCCACGCGCCATGTTCGCAGCATTCAGCCGCCTGAGAGCAAGAAGGAAGATATCGGGCTCAGGCTTCTTCTTACTATCTGACATTTCTGGGTCGTCGCCAAATACCTGTAAAGCTGAGTCTTGGAATGCTCGCCCGATGCAAGCCAGATGTGATGTCTTCAGCGCAAACTTCCCACGCCCTGCGGAGCTAGCTAGCGACAGCAGTATAGGTGGCGTGGTCTGGAATTTCAGCTTTTGAAGGAGATCATCGATGCCAGCGAGCGTCTCGCTGTTCCTGAACAAATGTGTATGTGCTTTCTCTT